CAACTTATCACAGCTCTACAGGCATGCCACCTTTCCAGGCCCTTTATGGACGACGCCCACATGCACTTCCAATGTACCGAACTGGGCTATCACTGGCGAATGAAGTAGACAGAAGTCTTATTGATCGTGATGAATTACTACAATAACTTAAGAGCAACCGCATGAAGCAAGCAGCAAATTTGAAGAAGACAGATGTGGAATTTCAAGAAGGTGATATGGTGTTTTTACGACTCCAACCTTATCGCCAAAATACTGCATTTAGAAAAACCCACCAGAAATTAGCAAGCCGATTTTTCGGACCCTATACTATTTAGAAAAAATTGGCAACGTGGCTTACAAACTACAGTTACTCGAAGGATCGCACATCCATCCCATTTTTCACGTATCATTGCTGAAGAAATATGTGGGCGATCCAAATGCAGTTAGCTCCGACTTACCCCCTATGACTAATGAAGGATCCGTAGCGCTCGAACCCGCGTACATCATTGACTCTCGTCGGATCAAACAAGATAATAAATTTGTTGAGGAATGTTTGGTACGCTGGAAACAATTACCAATAGAGGATGCTACCTGGGAGAAGGCAGAAATGTTGAAAGAGCAATTTCCGACATTGGACCTTGAGGACAAAGGTCCACTTGATCGGGCGGGCATTGATGGACCACGAAGATCCAATAAAGCCCCTAGGAAGAATCCTAAGTTCCAGGACGTGGCATAAAGAAGTGCATGCATGCAAGACCAAGTCCAAGCAACCACCTGATTTCTAGTAACATGATTTCTACATGGTCTCCACAAATAAAGGAACGTTCCTGACTGTTTAGGTTATTTTAGTCGTTATTTATTTATCTTCTTGTTAATCATGGGCCTTGAGGATAGGCATTCTGTTGCCACTCAAGCTATTTATATGTTATTCCACTGCAATGAGAAATCATCAGAAAAATTGTTCCAACTGTGGTAAATTTCTCAGCCAAGGAGAATTATATTTCCATTTAATCTGTCTTTGATTGGGACCACTATCAATACATGTACACTGACTTTCATATACAAGAACCAAAGGTTCGTTATTTTTCAAGTACAATAGATTTAAGGTGCCATCAATGGGTTGAAGGGGAACAATTCTCGCAACCCATTCATCTGAATTGGTACACCATTTCCTTGAAGTCTTATTCAAAGAATCCTGTCCAGGGGCCATCAATGATTTGGGATTCATCCAAAATTAGGCTATTCATCTAATTTGAGGAACTCAAGTGTGAACAGGCCACTAAACGATTCGATTCTTGGCTTCCTTGGTCTGGCACCAGTTTTCCTTGACAACAAAAATGTATACATTAGCAACATATGAAATGGGAAAATGAAAATGGTAACTCGAATCCAAAATAGAAAAATGAAATAATCTGTCCAATTTTATATTCTCGTATGTCATCCAAACAATTCCTTATTTTTCTAGCAAAAACAAAAAATACAAGTCTGCCAACAGACTACCGTGTGTCCAAATTACCGTGACACCCATACCACGAAATGATTAAACAACCTAGAATCTCAACATGTGTCCAAATTACCATGAAACTCATTCTTTGAAACCCACCCAACCACCATCTTGTGGATTTACAGAGGACAAAATTACTTAAAAGAATAAATAAAAAATGGTTTGGAATTTACCTCGTTGTGGTTCGTCCATGTTTGATTCTTCACAAATCCAAGCTTCATGGTCATGGTGGGGCCTTCGATTGTGATGGAGGTTTGACTTGGGAGATTAAGTTCATAGATTTGGGAGATGGAATTTCATCTCGAGAGTTCATCAATTATTTTTCTTTTGTACAGGGGGGATCATGATTTCACTGGGTCTCATCTCGTGCTTTTAATCTCTTAATTTACTCAGGTATGTTTCAGTGTGCATTCAAACAATTAACTCGTATCCATATAACGACAACATTCAATGCACTTTGCTAAAAGATTAATGGCAATGTTCAAAGAGTGTTGCTAAAATACTCAATGACAATGGAATGAACATTGCGAAAAAATTAATGGCAACATTCATATGCACGTTGTGAAAATGTTTAAGAGCAACACGCCCATCATATTGTTAAAAGGTTAATGGTAACGTTCAAGAGTGCATAGCTAAAACATCTAATGGCAACTCACATTGCCTGTTGCTATAACTAAATAATGGCAACGAGTACCACACGTTGCTAAAATACTAAAATAATTGCATTGCACGTTGAAAAAAGAAATTCAACGACAACAAATTGCAAAGTTGCAAAAGGGTATCTTAGCAACATTCCTTATAAAAACGTTGTCAAAACTCAATTTAGTCAACCAATAGCAACATACAGTTACTGAATGTTGCGATAGACCCATTTTAAAAACATGCAAATGGTGAATGTTGCCTTTTGTATGTTATAAAAGGCCTATTTTCTTGTAGTGAAGATTAGTCGCCCACGATGCTTTCTGTAGTTGGGATGATCCAAAAGTAATCGAGTTAGGATTTTATCGCCCTTTTAGTGGATCTCGTCACCCTTTCGATGCAAGAATTAGTCGAGTGTGAGAGAATGAAAGTATGTAGAAAGCTATGTGTACATTGAGAGCGTAACAAAATAATGAACCAAAGATGTATGTTTAAACAAGTTCATGGTATAGTTGACTTTGGATAGGAAAAGGACAGTTGAAGGTTACATCATTTTGTTGCCATAGTTCGATGTGTCTGAGCTGGTCAGGTAGTTGGTCGAGGTGGTTAAGTAATAGGCCGAGGTTGACCTATCTAACTTTTGACTGGCTCAATGATCCCCCAGTCAAGGTCTGGTTAAACTTCATAATCTATGAAACATTTGGATTAATTGTATGAAAATATGTTACTTTAAATTCATAAGTTTTGTGTGCAAAGATTTCGAGACAAAGGTTCTTTTGAACCATGGTCACGTTATCCGTAGGATTAAAAGTTTGAGGCTTTTGGTAAGTCAATGTCATGATGATTCTAGGTTGAGGATGATCGGGCTTTTGGCGAGCCTATGTTGAGGTAGTTGACGGATTTCTAGAGAGTCAATGGTATAGGTAAAATGAGTTTGTTAATGAACCCAATGCCATGATGGTAAAGAATATGTTTAAGAGTTAAGGGTCTTGGTGATCTGAGGTGGTCAAGGACTCGTTTGAGAGTCGAAGGGTCATGGTGAAACAAGGTGATAAAGGAACCTGATGCCTTAGTAATTGAGGCCTCATTTGAGAGTTAATGATTTTTGTGACCCGAGATCGTCAAGACACTCTAGACTTCGGTGATTGAAGATTTGTTCGAGAGTCAATGTCAAGAGACTCGAGGCCGTAGACCCAAATGACTAGTTGAAAAGTTAGTGGTCTTTTTGAAACGAGGTTGTCAAGAAAGTCTAGGCAGAGGACTTGTCGTAGAGTTAGTGGTCTTTTTGACCCGAGATGGTTAAAAGATTGATAACTTGGTGGTCGTAGACTTTAGAGAGTTAGTGGTCTTTTGACTCAAGGTAGACAAGAGGCTCAAGGCTTAAGCGGCAAAGGACTCATTGGAGAGTTAGTGATCTTTATAATCTAAGCTGGTCGAGAGATACGAGTCTGTAGTAGACAAGGACTCGTTAGAGAGTCGGTGATCCATTTTACCCTAAATGGTCAAGAGACTCGAGGAATGGCCTTGCATAATATGAGATTTGGGATAGCCTGAAGGCTCATACAATTAGTAAAGGCATCCAAATGAGTGATTGGGCAAGTTTTTCCCAATGTAATTTGATGTTCGAGTTCTTGTACTCTCGGGACAGAGGATAGACCAAGATGTTGAGAGTGAATAGCGTCTTTGCTGTATGGGAGGTAGGTTCCCATCTATTCTTTGATGTTTACAATAGTGGGCACATTGGCGAAGAACTTAGGCAGTTGAATAAGAGTACTAGTGATAGGGATTAGGAAATTCATGAGTCCTTTATTTATTGTGTCTGGTATTAAAATAGCATATAGTATCTCATTTGAGTTAGGGTAAGGGAACCTGCCTTAAGGTATGCAACAGCCTAATGATCTTGTGAGTACTTGTGCTGACCCGAGGTAGGCCACAGGTCAAGGTAAGATTAGCCATAGATGATGATTCATATAGTTGGGATGATATGAAAATCACTAAAGTGAAAACTCCAAGGAATGTAACAAGCAACTTTTCAGTACCTACAAAAGAGTCAAGGGATGGGACAGGATCTCTTCACCCCTCTAGTATAAGAATTAGTCAAAAAGAAAAGAAAGCAAGTATGCAGAAAGTTAAAAAGTGCATTGCGGGAGCATAAAGAAATATTAAACCAAATGCATAGATTTATACTAGCGTAATCTTATTGGGATTAGGATTCCCTGAGTTCGCACATGGCGTATCGGCCTAGGAGTTTAAGTAGGATAAGGCATTCTTTGTAGTGAAAAGTGTCTTGTGCAGTAAGTGAAGATACTTCCTTTAGTTGAGTAGGAGAACTCTTGAGGTAGAGTTTGTGTAGCATATAGAGACTTGAGAGGTTTGATCATGTCGTTGTGTTGCTCAAATGATGATGAAGGGTGATTCGATAAGTTGATCCTATCAAGTTTTACATAAGTTACAGAAGAAAATTTTAGAGACGCCACCATAATGTTAGATTGCTGACTTGTGATTGATTCATGTACATTCCACTATTCACAAGGGAACAGAAAAATTGGACCTAAGTGGATAGTCAAGTTCGAAGAGGACTAGAATGGATTAGAACTTTATAACCTATTTTTCATATTTTAGTCCTTATCTAACACCGTTTATATATTTTATAATTGATCAAATCACTTCTTATTCATATATTTCATGGAATCCATAAATACTATCAATTTATCCGATAATTATTCTGTTGGTTTATCTTTCAAACTAATTAGACGAGAAATAAATTAGGGAAAATGATTGATAAATTAATGTAAATAAAAATATAAAGCGAATTATATAATTATAATTTCTAAAAGTATTCCTAAACGTACTCTAGTATTTCCCATCCTACGTTGATCCGCTGTTGTTTTGTCAAGTGACTGTCCCAAGTCTCACTTTAACCCCTACCCTTAAAATATCGACCCTTCCAGCGTATCGTAGCACATCATACGCCGTTCGGCTAGACTGCGCTTCCGGAGTTCTCAAAGTTGATCAACCGGCTAACCCACGGGAACTCGACGACGCAGATCAATTCGCACCTCCACATCCTTCTAGATCCCCTCATTGTATACATATACGCATCTTACTCTCACCCCCACCATTTAATATACATTCCGCGAAAATGGGCGTTAATTACTATGACATTCTGAAAGTCTCCAAAAATGCAAGTGAAGAGGATGTGAAGAAGTCATACAAGAGATTGGCCATGAAATGGCACCCTGACAAGAATGCCGTGAACACTAAGGAAGCAGAGGCGAAGTTTAAGGAAATATCTGAGGCATATGACGTGCTAAGTGATCCACAGAAGAGGCAGATCTATGATTTGAATGGAGAGGAAGGTTTGAAATATGGTTTTGATTCTGGGTCGAGTCCGAGGGAGGCTAGGGATATATTTGAAGAGTTTTTTGGTGGGATGAATGATGGGTTTAAAGGGAAAAGAGATGGTTTTGGCGAAGGCGGCGGAGGCGAAGGCGGTGGCGGTGGTGGTGGAGGAGGAAGGGTGAGGAAGGCGGCGCCGATGGAGAATAAATTGCCATGTACCTTGGAGGAGCTGTACAAGGGATCGAAAAGGAAGATGAAGATCTCCAGGATTGTTCTTGATGAATATGGGTAGGTGTATTATTAAAGTACTCTAAATTTGCATTATTTTTCTTTGGGTCCAGTTTGATCTCTGCACTTGAAATTGATGCAATCGAGTCGAGTCTTGCATAAACTTTGAGTGCACGTTTGGCATGCTGAACTCACATTATTAAATGAAAAAAAAAAAAAAAGCTAAAATCTTGTTGAAAGTATAGTCTGAATCCCCTTCGTGTACTGCTTAATAAAACGTGGAAGTTCAATGGAATTGGATGGAATTGGAATTTTGAGAGAATCTTTGCCTGTATGCATATAGATTTGTATATTACGATGCCTTGATCTTTGATTCTTGTTTTTCTAGGAAATGTCTGCCTATAGCTAATGAATATGTGGAAATACATTAGAGAGGTAAATAAACTGAAAGATGGAGAATTCTCATTTACTAATACTTCTGATCATGCATTATATCAGATAGAAAATAAATGCAACAGTAGCAATCATGAATCCATCCATTTTTGCTCTATAGGGAGCACTTCTGTCCGCTATTTCTTCCTTATTAGCTTCATTTATGACCATCAGTTGTCTTTTTATTCCACTCGAGGCAGCTGGTGTTGAACATCCTTGTTTCAATGATGCTTTTGTTTCATCAGACATTGGATAAAGCTCTGTAATTTCAAAGAATTAGATTGAAAGTATAATGAAGTGTTTGTTGTTTGTGTATGTGCATTGTACACATGGTACACGGAATTATAATGTTGATAGATGAACATATTATATTTAAGTATGCTTATGCCTATATATATTTCTTATCAATGCACTGTGTTCAATAAAAAGAAAATTGGGACACTGTGTGTATGCTGGCGTAGATTAGGCACGAAAACTTTAATGTTCTGGGGTCTACTTTTATTGGGGTACGGTGTGATGAAAACTGCTCCATGAATGTCTGACACAAAAGTATATGATAAGTGTAAGTTAGTTCAAGGATTTCTCATTTTTTGGTGCCTTTTATTTAGGAATTATGTTCGTTGGATTAAATGGTGTATATATCCGATTTTTGCAACTGAAATTTTTTGTAGTTTTAAGAATCTGAGCTAAACTATAGCTTTCAATTGTTTTGCATGAGATTGACATAAATGGCTGTTCGTCGATATCTGTAAAAGGAATTAGATAATAAAAAATAATATTTGAAGCTATGTAATGAATAGTATCATAAACAGTGCAATAGCTGGAGATACACAGATAAAAGCACAACTATCAAACAGATTGATAATATTCTAATTTGAAATTTGGAAACGGCAGCATTATGTTTTTGTTATTGCTATCTATGATAAATATTTAAGAAGAAGTCTACATCATGAAATTGAATGGATTTAACAAAAACTTGTTAACTTTCAAATTTGTCGTTGTGTTTGTATCTTGATTTATGGGTTGTCTAAATTAAAGTCTGTCACCGCCTTTGAATGTGTTTGGAATAGTTACTACATTATGTAGGCACCTGACAGGAATACTAATATTAAATTTTATCATTCTTATGTAAGCAAAATGTGCAGATAAATACTGTGATTAAATTTTCAAATAGAGTTCAGTCTCGGTGATGTCAGCATGACTCTAGGAAGATGTGTTTAATTTGGTTTTTTTTTTCCTTTCTCATTTGGCTATATGACGGCATTAGTTATTGGAGTCGGGCTAACTACTTAAATAGTTTTCGATACGTTGTTAAGTTCACAATCGAAGTGGAATAAATGGTAAAATGAAATTGTAACATAAATATTACATTCCCCATTATTGTTGCACATTATTTCCTGCGTCTGGTTGTGAAACAACTGACAGTTTCTGTCGTTTTTATATCTTATGGTTGATGATTTCATTCCCTATAAGCCAGTTGGAGTATTTCTTAAAAAAGCAACAGTATTTTATATGTCATAGAGATGGATCTATAACAATGTTAATTGCTTTTGGTTCTCTGAGTACTTATCATGGAGGAAGGAGAGTTCTTATATTAGATTAATATGTTCTACTCTATTATGTTCAGGAGAAATGTTTTTTTTCTAAGGATTCTATATTTGTCATACCTAGTTTGCCAGCCCCAAATTTATTAGGAATGAGGTCTTAGTTTCTTGTATTATCTCATATCTAGTTTTCACTGTAGTGATAAAGTGCTAGTTCTTGTTTTCCAAGATAACAGGGGTTTCCTTGCTACCTAGTTACAAACAATATCTTCTTAGAAATTAGATTTTTGCATTTTTTATGTTTTATTGCAATAGTATTGATATCAGTGTGTTTCATACTTTCACATCATATGCCTTTTCTGTTAGAGCTAAAGAGGACCGATATTAGCTTTGGTTGACTTGCCCCAAGCTCATTGGATATGAACTCTTTGGATTAATAAGCCGACTCGTCTTAACTCTCATCTTTTCTTTTTTAAGGGATAGGCTCAATAAACTAATAGGCATCACCTATAGCTCATATATTTTCTTATTTCCCAAGCTGATATTATTGACTGCACCTATGACCTATCTAAAGAAGTTATGATGCATTAAGGAAAATAATGCTGAAATTTTATAGAGATTTTAGTTAATGCTCCTTACAGTCTACACTTTACATTAAAGTAGCATCTGGCATTTCTCTCTCAATCCTTGTGCTTGTGCATACATGTTTATGTTCGACATTCTTGCTGTTAATAGTACTTGAAACTTTTAAAACTTGACAATGACTTTTGGGTTGAAATTCATTTATTACAATAAAAATGTGAAAATGATAATAGCTAGATAATTGTTTTATAATAATGATTATTATTGTTTTTCTGCTTTGGATTCGTAAGCCTGCAGTTTAAAAACTGGGCATTTGTGGATGCTTTCAATTTTGAGAATTATGTTTTAGATTATTTATTTGGGTGGGGTGGAGGAATAAATTGAGCACGCCATAGCTGAGTGTGCAAGGTGCTTTACAAAAGCACGGGAATTTCCACAATGTATTAGCGTTGTCACCCTGTTCTCTCTCTTTCCTGATGTGTTCTGTCACTATATCTTTAGTCTTCCATTCGTTGATGTGTATTAATATCTACAGCAAGCCTAGCACTGTTGAAGAAGTCTTGGCAATACATATTAAACCAGGTTGGAAGAAGGGAACAAAGATTACTTTTCCAGAGAAAGGGAACCATGAAGCTGGCGCTACCCCGGGAGACCTTACTTTTGTAGTGGATGAGAAGCCGCATCCTGTTTTTAAGAGGGACAGCAATGATCTAATACTCAACCAGAAAATTTCCCTACTCGATGCTCTCACAGGTAAGACTATTAACATAACAACCTTGGACGGAAGGAATCTTAGTATTCCAGTCTCAGATATTGTCAAACCAGGGCATGAAATGTTGGTGCAAAATGAAGGAATGCCCATTTCTAAAGAACCCGGTAAAAACGGAAATTTGAGGATCAAATTTGACATCAAATTCCCCTCGAGGCTTACCGCTGAACAGAAATCGGATTTGAGGAGGGTGCTGGGCAGGAAAACTAACTAATTCCAGGTTCAACTCAATGGTTATAGATTCCCATTAACAGTAGTTATGCAAATGCTACTAAATGTAAATACTTTTTAACATTTTCGAACTAGGAAGGTTGTGCATAGTAGAAGAAATAGATGGAGTTGTTTCTGGCAACATTTTAGAACTATGTAGCAGCATCTGAAAAGTGTGAAATTAGTAGTTGCTATTTCGAACACCACATTCTGTAAAAATAATAATGTGCTAATGTTTCTTGATTATCATGGTGGATCCTAAACGGTATGTATTGGAGTTTTGAACATATAAATTTTTTGTTTTGGTTGCGTGGAGATACGATATCCTTTTCTCATTCAGTTGAGCAGCTTTTTGTGACTATATGTTGGTTGTGTTCTTATGATCTCATACTGTTTAAAGCATGTTTAGCAGCGAATTCAATGGTACCAGACAGTATTCGGGAAGAACATAAAATCTAGATACTTATACTGTTTTGATATTTGTACGAAGCATGCCCGTATTGTTTCTGAATTTATTACAGATTTCCAGTTGGGTAATCAATGCATTATTGATCTGTATTAGAACCTGTATTTCTCGTTCTTCTGAAGTTCTTTCTTGGCCCCCAACAAGTTTATCAACTTCTTCACCTTTCTTTGTCAGTATGAAAGACGGCATTGCCTGCACTCAATATTAGTGTGCCACTTCTTGTTCAGGTAGTTCATTGCTAGTCAGTATTGATTTGTAAAATAAATAGGGAAATGATGAAATTGAGCTACGGGAAAAGGCCAAGGGGCGTACATGCAGCTCATCAACATCAATCTTAATGAACTTGACACTCGTATATTTATCAGCAAATTCAGTAATGGCTGTTCCTTGTAGCGACAAGGTCCACACCAGGAAGCTGTAAGTTTGATAACAATCAATGGCCAAAATCAGAAAGAATTTTACTTGAACACAGTCATAAATTGATGAGAAATTAATATTATCATTTTGCACTTTGTTTTGAAGCTTCAAAATGGATTTTCCATTTGGATGGGAGTGGAATGCTACAACTTGACTCTTCTTTGTTGTTGACCCAATGGGCTCATAACCAGAAATATTAGCCTCAGTTTTCATTCTTTCAGGTGGATTTTGGAAGTTTTCTGTTGGTTTGGCAGAGTCTTGCCAAGGGTCCCTTTTATAGTGGTTGATAATGGAATTTCATTGTACACAATTCGGGTATACGGAGTATGTTCTTGTTCTGACCCCTTATGTATGTCAACCATGGGAGTTGAGAAGTAAAGTAGAATGATTTGTCTATGACTGTTACTAATAACGACTCGATTGCAATAAGGAACTCTACCAACTAAGCTATATCCCAAACACACCGAGTAGCATATGCATAAATTTCGGCTAAGTCATCCTCTACTTGAACCTTGCAATTTCCCTGCTTGCTACTTTACTCCCTTTTTCGAACCATATTCGAAATTTAAAAACATATCTCATGCTCTCTTGAATATTTGTTTCAAAACTGCAATTTTTTCTGGCGCAAACTTGAAGTTGAGAAAGATGGGATATCATTATTCCCACACAGAGAGTGCCAGCCTAAAATGCTTACTGAAAATTTGTGCTTGGCAATTCACAACTTTTAATTCTCACTTGGGCACAGCCATGACAGAAATGAATGAAACTGCTCGTCACTGGTCAATGCAAACCGAACTAGGCATCTCATGTTATAGTTTAAATTAAGAAACACATGCTCGAAAGAATGGTATTTCCTGAATTTTTGAAGCAATTTTACGTACACGAACATCTTTTTATCTGTAATCTCTCGACTTCCCTTCCATATAGAATTGACACAGAATTAATTCTATTCAATGATAAATCGTCATTTTAGCAGTAACTAGATCGCAGCAAATAGGAAAATTGGATGGCCCTGTCCAGCCTTGTCAAGCACTGCATACCGACAATTATAATTCATCATCAGTTCGAAATCTCTCGGTTACATCAAATTCATATAGCACTGTAATATCAAGTGAAGATAGCAGAACTTTGATCTCATATTCATTGAGATAAAGCCAAATACTCGATCCAAAAAAGTCAAAGTTGAAAAGAATTTCAATCTGCTAGGCCATCCTGACCCGTGACAATTATTTCAGTAATGGAACATGTCAGTCTACAGATAAAAGAGCTGCATCGCATCACGCAACCTCGAGACATCATGAACGGTGGCGATGTAATTCAAGCACTTGGTTTAGTCAATGCAGAACTAGCCACTGTCAACTAAATAAGCATATCAAAAGGGTAAAACGACGGACTAAAAGCAGGTATCCCTCGAGTGGAAAAGCGCAAACTCCAAATTCAGATGCAAGAGTATTGCAGTTCAAAGAGATTAGTGATTTAATTTCTCCCCAAAAAAACAGTTCCCTCATCTTTGGACCACAGAAAGCCAATGTACCCATGTGAACTACCATCATAAATTTGATATCCAATAAATCTCAGGCAATGATGTTAAACAGTTTCGAATTATATTTTCAAAGGCCTTGGCAGATGAGTGAAATATCTATCAACACACTCCATTAATTGGCTCAACCCAAAAAAAATAACTTGAGGGTCATTGGAAGCAAATTAATTTACTTAATGCTGCTCACGACCCATTTACTTCTTGGATGGCTCTCTTTTGCGTTTCGGTCCTTTACCATTTGTTGGTCCATGAGCCCACTATATTAGCCCATTATTATTACACCCTAAAACTATATATTCGCCTCATTGTTGAAGAAGTCGTGTGTGTGCGCAATTGTAAAAGAAGAGGCAGCCGACTTTCTTGTGTTTTCTCCCTTCAAGTTGAAACTTGTCTTCCTCTCCTCTTGGTTACATATTGCAGCCACCCTAATGAGTTCTCTGTGAATACTTTGAGTTGAGCAACCGAAGTAAAATAGTTGTGGACTGAAAGTTTATATGAGATATTACAATGTATACAATGACATTATTGAGGTATAACAATTTATATTCACAAAACTCAAAGGCCATAACACCCTAAGAGTCTAGTATTATAATATCTCATTCAACAACTCAGTACACCAATTGGTTATCGTACTTCCTAAGCATCCAGTGGAAACATATGCATATGTAATATAACCCAAGTGGGAACAACCAAATGCTTCAACTATTATCATACCCAGATGTTGGTGAGAACGTTATTTCCTTGAACATCCTCAGCTCTCAATTTGATCTTCCTAAAAGCATGGTCCTCATCACCTTGAAGGTCAGTCGAAGACACTTCAAACATACGATGCTTGAGTCCTTCTGGTGCAATCTAATAGGGGAAACAGTGTTGTCTATCAATTTTAAGTGCTTACGAGTAGTTGAGTACTTGCACCAAAGATAGTTTCTAAAACGAAGACGTTACAACAATTGCATGGCAAAAAACGAGGTTCAATAGTGTAAACTTTCAAACATTTATCTTAGTTGTTTAGATATGCAGCAAGTCATTTCCTTAGTTTTTTTTTTTTTTTCACGGTAGTTGATTCATCATGATCTTCACTTGTTCAGGTTTCCAAAATCTCTAAGTTCTTTAAGCAAAAACTGATGACACCTAGAATTGCAATCCAGGCTCAAATGTATCTCAGAAGCATTGATTCACTTCTTTTTGAGCAATGAACTCAAAGTTCGATAACTCAAAACTAGAAGAATCTTAGCTAAGCAATAAAGCTGACGTCTTGATGCCAAATCCACAGTTTTAAGATCCTCAATTATTCAGGAGGAACAAAAAAATATGAGGGGGGATTGTTAACCTATGATTGACTTTACGTTTTGATTATAACAAACAAATTGTTTATATCACTAACAATCACATTTGAGTGATTATAGAAATTGTGGCAAACTTGATCAATTGAAAATGAAATGGTCTTCATTGGAATACTCACAAAAAATGAGCAATGCAAGACGAGATAAAAGCCAAGCATATACAACAAATCATTCAAGACAAACACCTTATCAAGTCCGATGTTGAAGCAATTACATTTAGATATCTTGAATTCAAATGTAAAGGTAAAACGATCAAAAAAAAAAAAAAAAAAAAAAAAAAAAAAAAAAAAAAATTGGCAATATCATTTGAAGCTCGAGATGAATTTTTATGCATAAGGAAAAACGACGTTTCAAATATTTTCACATAAAAAATTAATTTTCAAAGGTATGACTTTGTTTGGGAAGTACCAAAAACCTTGAAAAATAAGTTTAAAGATAATCTTCAATTACTCATATTTTTCCGAACAATAAAAAAACATTTTTTTTTTTTTTTTGAAAATTTTGGCCATACTAGATGCGTTCGGTATATCTGGCGAACATCCAATAAACCTGGTTTGTCCAACGGTCTAAATAGTAACCGTTCTGATTTCTAACCAAAAACGGCCAATTGACCGTCCGATAGGTTACCGGACTTCCGGTAGCAATCGTCCGATAAGACAAAAATTTGACCGTTCTATTGCTATAAATACCAGATCAATCTGTATTCAATACACAACTTCTAATAGCATTAAAGTGAGAGTATTGATCTTATCTATTTAATTTTCACTCTTTGTTTTTATCTCTATCAATCTATTCATATTAAGAAATAATTTTGATTGATTTATCTTTTGAAAAATAATTTCACTCATCAAAGTTTTTCTCATCTAATTCTTGAGCTTCATTCATTGCCATTTCTTAAAGAGTTAGCCTACTTCTCTTATTATACTTTGGATACATCATCTACTATAAGAGAAGTTTCAATTTGTAAATCCTTTTATCTATAAACTTAAGGGTTGTGTTGAGATTCCGTAAAGCTCAACATTGTAAAAGGATCGGTACTCCTTGTTTGTAAGTCATTGGAAGCTTTGCAAGGATTGGATTGCACCATAAATCAATCACATTTAGTGGAAAAGACCTTGCTTGTGGCAGAGAGCTGGGTAACAGAGGACGTAGATCATTGGGTTGGATCAAACCTCCTATTAAATCGTTTGCATTCTCTATCCCTTTTACTTATTGTTTCTATATTACGTTAGTTACATTTGTCTACTCATTTTGATATTTGTGCAAATTTGCGTAATTATTACATTCGTTAGCGTAGTAATTTTAAACGTAAAATTAATTGTGGAAAAAGTTTTAAAGACCAATTCACCCTCTCTTGATTAGTCAATCTTGGGCTTTCAATTGGTATCAGAGCTTGGTACGTACTCCTTTTTTAAAGATTTCACAATTTTCAGTAATGACTAACCCTATGTTTCAAAATCTTGAGAGACATTCTACAAACCGACCTCCTTTCTTTGATGGGACACACTATAATTATTGGAAGGCTAGGATGATTATTTATGTTCAATCCATTG